TTAAAACATGATCATATAACGTACATTAATACATGATCATATAACGTACATTAATACATGATCATATAGCGTACATTTAAACATGATCATATACCGTACATTAATACATGATAATATACTGTACATTAATACATGCTAATATATCGTACATTAATACATGATCATATACCGTACATAAATACATGATCATATAACGTACCTTTATACATGATCATATAACGTACATTAATACATGATCATATACCATACATTAATACATGATCATATACCATACATTAATACATGATCATATAATGTACATAAATACATGATCATATACCGTACATTAATACATGATCATATACCGTACATAAATACATGATCATATAACGTACATTTATACATGATCATACAGCGTACATTAATACATGATCATATACCGTACATGAATACATGATCATATAACGTACATTTATACATGATCATATAACGTACATACATACATGATCATATACCGTACATTAATACATGATCATATACCGTACATGAATACATGATCATATAACGTACATTTATACATGATCATATAACGTACATTAATACATGATCATATACCGTACATTAATACATGATCATATACCGTACATGAATACATGATCATATAACGTACATTTATACATGATCATATAACGTACATTAATACATGATCATATACCATACATTAATACATGATCGTATAACGTACATTAATACATGATCATATAACGTACATACATACATGATCATATACCGTACATTAATACATGATCATCGTAAATTAATACATGATCATATAACGTACATAAATACATGATCATATAACGTACATTAATACATGATCATATACCGAAGAAAATTATATTGGATCTCAGTCAAACATTGTCTCAAATCTTTTGATTTTAAAATATTTTCAGTTAATGTGATTTTATCTTTAATTCACGCATGTAAATGCAAGTAACAATATAATAACATAAGATCTATTGCTATATACATTTGCATTATTTATTATTAATTATTATTAATTATTAATAATTATTGATTATTAATTATTAATGATTATTTATTAATTATTGTTATAAATTACTAGACTTCGAATCTTTGTAAGCTATGTCAATACAATTTTTAACGAATATTGTTTCAAAATTACACAAAATGATATCATTTTATGTGCCGATTTAAGATCCTGTAACACAATTTTTTCATGGTTTTATTTCATAAATATAATGCTCAAATTAAGATTTGTCAATATTGTAAGTTCCAATAAGCATTATTTATAAAGATATTACCCAATTTAACATTTCATGTAAATAAAGGGAGGTAATTAGAAATATATTTTCTATAAATTCTAAGTCAAATTTTCCAATAAGAAATAAATGCCTGTAATTTATTGATTAAATTTAATGTGCACAAATATTTGCAGTACACATTTTACATATTCTTCGATGTTTGAAAATTGTTTTATTTGCATAAATATGTACATATATAATTTTTTGCTAGTGTGGTATTCATACAGTAAAAATATCAATCACAAAACATACAGGATCTTTAACACAAAAACAATATGTTAATTTAACAGAAAACTAAACAGAAAACGACTTTATGCTATACAAGTAAATGCTTCACATAAAATCTTACATTTCCTCAATGGTCGTCACAATAGACAGGACTGTACCTCTCATCATGCCATTCATGAAATCTGGAATATCGATGGGAATCCCAGCCGCTGCCTAAAATATTGATAAATATTTTATACATAGCACACACGCACGCACGCACGCACGCGAACGCACACATACTGACAAACACACACACACAAGAGCGCACATACACACCAAAATCAATTAGGCAAATGTTCACAAAAATGTTCCTAAATCGACATTTAAGCGATAAAAACTAATTTTGTGTTGTCTCATTATTTTTTAACATAGCGTCCCGAGAGTTATTTTTAACGCAACTGTAACGTTCGTTTCTAAAAATTGAAGATCGGGGCTTACAGAAAGAGGTTCGGCAGATTAGAGGTATCGAAGGGCTTCCCTATTTCTTATGTTTTTTAACGATGGCGAATTTTATTTTTCACCTTAATTACAAGCAAGGATTTATCTAAAAATAATATATAACTTTTAGAAAAGCTGAAGGCCGCTTTTTATATTTAGGTGATAATATCAATTTAGCCGTCTGTACTTAATAAGTTGTTAAACCTTATGACTGATAAAATGTTTGGATTTCCAAGTGATAACATTGTGGCTTTCCACCAGAAATAATTGTAACTGTTTAATATCAATTTGTTAAATCAGGATAACCTGTGTATATTTGATATATTATGAATGTTCCATTGTGTTGACATTGAATCCACTTTCAGAAGAACTATAAATTTTGCGCATAAAACTTGTATAAATAGAATATCCCTCGTACATTAATAAGTAAATAAATATAAATGAAAAATATCAAATATTCCAAAATTCATTGAATAAATAAAAATGTTAATAGAAATGTTTCAAATTTTATCTTTAAAATGTTTTAATAAAGAACACATGTTGTTTATTCATAGTTTCTATTTGGCATGTTGATGTCATGATATTTAATTTGTACCATATGTAAAACCCTGTATTGTACTATAGATATTTACAATGACCTTGACTGACTGACAGGCTGGCTGAACAGACAGACAGACAGACACGCTGTCATTGTATAGGTTAAAGGTCAAGGTCTTCAAGTTAAAAATTAAAACGTTACACAATTTCTATTAATCTTTAACACCTTGAAAGATTTTCTTCAAACTTGACTCAAATTTTCACCTGAACAAGACAGTGTGTGCAGGTTAAGGTCACCAGGGAAGGTCAAATGTCTAACAATTTGTGTGGCTTTCAGCTGAAGGATTTTCTTTAAACTTTGTTCTAATGTTCACATCAACAAGGTCATGTGCATAACCTATGTCACGGCTGTGCAGACTCAGTATTAATATCATAAATTGAAACATATGTCATTGTTTATAGGATGATTTCGCACATATTTTTAGCAAATTAACCCCATCCCGTTCCCTTTGAAGACATCTATTAGAAAAGCCATTATCGTTTTCTTAAAGGCACATTTATGTCTCAGAAATGCTTTCATGTATTGTGTTCTCTAAAAAACTTTAACGATTTGTATCTTGTTACCAGTTTCCATACAAAATACTCATTTACTTATAGATGAACTACCCGTTTCTTCTTTTGCTCTGTTGGCAATTGCTGTAATTATAGTGAAGTAGTATTGTATATGTAAGTCAATATACTACTATATATTTACATTTTAGCACAAGAAGAAAAAGATCATCGTTAAGTAAGTTGGTCAGCAAATACGAGTAGTGTAGAGATTGGTCCACAGACTGTCCTGAGGTCTATACTGGTTGAAAAGGTCAATTAGAGGGATAAGGGTAAGAAAGTTCCTTTTCAGAAATTTCCGTATAGCTAAAACACACACCTTAATTGCTTTTTAAGTATGATAACCTAATCTATGCCCATAATCGATTCTCTTTGATCAGGTTCATATAAATATTATATGTTTCCTGTAAAGTTCTTACATTACTTATCCTACTTGAAGTGGTACTTATAAAGGTAACTAGAGTGTGAGTGAAGTTGGTAGTGAGAGTGGTAGTTAAATTTGTAAGAGAGAGGGGAGAGGGTGGAAAATGAGAGTTTTAATGAAATTATAATTGAGTGTGGGACAGAAGCTGGTAGTTAGAATGATAGTAAGAGTGATAGAGTGATACTTAGAGTGATAGAGTGAAAGTTAGAGTGATAGTTAGAGTGACAGAGTGGTAGTTAGAGTGGTAATTAGATAGAAAGAGTGAAAGTTAGAGTGATAGAGTGAAAGTTAGAGTGGTAGTTAGAGTGATAGTTAGAGTGATAGAGTGAAAGTTAGAGTGGTAGTTAGAGTGGTTGTTAGAGTGGTAGTAAGAGTGATAGAGTGAAAAGTTAGAGTGATAGTTAGAGTGAAAGTAAGAGTTAGAGTGGTAGTCAGAGTGAAAGTTAAAGTGTACTGGACTTGTAAGTGAGAGTGGCACTAAACTTGTAAGTGAGAGTGGTACTGGACATGTTAGTGAGATTGGTACTGGACTTGTTAGTGAGAGTGGTACTGGACTTGTTAGTGAGAGTGGTACTGGACTTGTAAGTGAGAGTGGTACTGGACTTACTAGTGAGAGTGGTACTGGTCTTGTTAGTGAGAGTGGTACTGGACTTATTAGTGAGAGTGGTACTGGTCTTGTGAGAGTGGTACTGGTCTTGTTAGTGAGAGTGGTAAAGGACTTATTAGTGTAATTGGCACTGGACTTGTGAGAGTGGTACTGGTCTTGTTAGTGAGAGTGGTACTGGCATTTTTAGTGAGAGTGGTACTGAACTTGTTAGTGAGAGTTGTACTGAACTTGTTAGTGAGAGTGGTACTTGACTTATCAGTGAGAGTGGTACGGCACTTGAACGTGAGAGTGGTACTGAAATTGTTATAGAGAGTGGTACTGGACTTGTTAGTGAGAGAGGTACAGGGCTTGTCAGTAAGTGTGTTACAGGACATGTTAGTGAAAGTTGTACTGGAATTGTTAGTGAGAGTTGTACTGGACTTGTTAGTAAGAATGATACTGGACTTATTAGTGAGAGTGGTACTGCACTTGTAAGTGAGAGTGGTACTGAAATTGTTATTGAGAATGGTACTGGACTTATTAGTGAGAGTGGTACTGGACTTGTTAGTGAAAGTGGTTCTGGACTTATAAGTGAGAGTGGTACTGGAATTGTTAGTGAGAGTTGTACTGGAATTGTTAGTGAGAGTGGTACTGCACTTGTAAGTTAGAGTGGTTCTGGACTTATTAGTGAGAATGGTACAGGACTTGTTAGTGAGAGCAGTACTGGACTTTTTAGTGAGAGAGGTACAGGACTTGTTCGTAAGAATGGTTCAGCACTTGTTAGTGAGAGTTGTACTGGACTTGTTAGTGAGAGCTGTATGGAACATGCAAGTTAGAGTGGTACTGGACTTATAAGTGAGAGTGGTTCTGGACTTATTAATAACAGTGGTTCTGGACTTTTTAGTTTGAGTAGAACTGAACTTGTTAGTGAGAATGGTACTGGATGTGTTAGTGAAATTGGTACTGGACTTATAAGTGAGAGTGGTACTGGACCTATTAGTGAGAATGGTACTGAACTTGCTAGTGAGTGTGGTACTGGACTTATTAGTGAGAGTGGTCCTGGACTTGTGAGATTGGTACTTGACTTATTAGTGACAGTGGTACTGGACTTGTTAGTAAGATTTGTATAAGACTTGTGAGTGAGAGTGGTACTGGACTTATTAGTGAGAGTGGTACTGGACTTGTTAGTGAGAGTGGTACTGGACTTGTTAGTGAGAGTGGTACTGGACTTGTTAGTGAGAGTGGTACTGGACTTGTTAGTGAGAGTGGTACTGGACTTGTTAGTGAGAGTGGTACTGGACTTGTTAGTGAGAGTGGTACTGGACTTGTTAGTGAGAGTGGTACTGGACTTGTTAGTGAGAGTTGTACTGGACTTGTTAGTGAGAGTGGTACTGGACTTGTTAGTGAGAGTTGTACTGGACTTGTTAGTGAGAATGGTACTGGATTTATTAGTGAGATTGGTATTGGACTTGTTTATGAGAGAGGTACTGGACTTGGTAGTGAGATTGGTACTGGATTTGTTAGTAAGACTGGTACTGGACTTATAAGTGAGAGTGATACTGGACTTGTTATTGAGAGTGGTACTGAACTTGTTAGTGAGGGTGGTACTGGACTTGTTAGTGAGAGTGGTACTGGACTTATTAGTGAGAGTGATATTGGACTTGTTACTGAGAATGGTACTGAACTTGTTAGTGAGAGTTGGACAGGACTTGTTAGTGAGAGTGGTACTGGACTTGTTAGTGAGAGTGGTACTGGACTTGTTAGTAAGAGGGGTACAGGACTTGTTAGTAAGAGTTGTACTGGACTTGTTAGTGAGAGAGGTACATGACTTGTTAGTATGAGTGGTACTGGCCTTGTTAGTGAGAGTTGTACTGGACTTGTTAGTAACAATGATACTTGACTTATTAGTGAGAGTGGTTCTGAAATTGTTATTGAGAGTTGTACTGGACTTGTTAGTTAGAAAGGTACAGGACTTGTTAGTAACAGTGGTACAGGACTTGTTAGTGAGAGCTGTACTGGACTTGTTAGTGAGAGTGGTACAGGTTTTGTAAGTAAAAGTGGTACAGGACCTGTAAGTAAAAGTGGTACAGGACCTGTAAGTAAAAGTGGTACAGGACCTGTAAGTAAAAGTGGTACAGGACCTGTAAGTAAAAGTGGTACAGGACCTGTAAGTAAAAGTGGTACAGGACCTGTAAGTGAAAGTGGTACAGGACCTGTAAGTAAAAGTGGTACAGGACCTGTAAGTAAAAGTGGTACAGGACCTGTAAGTAAAAGTGGTACAGGACCTGTAAGTAAAAGTGGTACAGGACCTGTAAGTGAAAGTGGTACAGGACCTGTAAGTGAAAGTGGTACAGGACCTGTAAGTGAAAGTGGTACAGGACCTGTAAGTAAAAGTGGTACAGGACCTGTAAGTAAAAGTGGTACAGGACCTGTAAGTAAAAGTGGTACAGGACCTGTAAGTGAGAGTTGTACTGGAATTGTTAGTGAAAGTTGTACTGGACTTGTTAGTGAGAGTGTGATTTGCCGTGGAGATTGTAGTGAGATTTGATTAGTGTAGGTCATAATCAAGTTGGGCTTCTTGAAGGCATGACCTAAATGATCGTTTTGTCCACGTATCCATTTAGAAATTACCAAGTTACAGCCAATTTTATCAAAAATATAACAAGTTCAGTCAGGTCTACTTGAAGGTCTTCTCTAAAGGGTTGTTGTGTCCAAGTATGAAGACAATCCATTATGTAATAAAATGTAATGGCCAACGTTAAAGATTCTAGACAGCAACGGCAACAACCTAACTCTAGCAAAAGCTTGAATTTTTCTCGAAAAAGAAGAGCTAAAAGGGATGAAGAATTGTCTTCCAAAAATATATTTTATTCTTGTCAATGTATAAAGAATAGATAAAACATATCCTATAGAAGGAGTTAAATAATTCGTTACTATTCTATACATTATCCAGTTCAAAACAATAAAACTATAAGGATCATACACCGGCTGTCGGTACAGACCGGAATATATAACTCTTTACGGCGATAACACGGTACTGCCGAGTTTCTGTTAAACATTTACTTGAGAGCTATATATTCCTGTTTGTGACGACACCCTGTGTTTGATTCTTTTTCTTGCATATTATAAATTAATGATATTGAGGAAAGAAATTACAAAATCTAATATTTTCATTTAGCACTATTTTCTTATAGAAGCGTATGAATTTATTACTTCATTCATAACGGCACATGACGTCATCCAAATAACGTAATTTATTCACAAAGGCGCGTGCGTATGACATCATTTAAAACACATGATTTGTCTTACAAGGGGATGCAAGACAAATTTTTCTGATATGCAAGTTCATTAGTCATAGCAAGACAACTTTATATCAATAATAAGTTGAAAACTTTGAATCAATTAAAAAATCAAATTTAACATAATGCTTGTTTCTGAAAAACAATATTAAAAAAAAATAATTTGTTAGCAAAAATAAAAACATACTTCAATTCAACAGAAATCCCCCATGGTGTTCTTTGTTCAAGGTTTGCTTCAAACAACAGTTTACTTTATACTCATACATGAAAACAAAATACATATTGCCTTGCTGAAGTTTACAAATGTAATTTAAACCGACAAATGAACATTAACAATTTGTCTTCATAGGATCTAAAATTTTGAAATATAATATCATTACATACAAATATGTATTATTAATATCAAACTTGTAACCATACAATGACACTTTATTATAACATTGAATATCTTCTATTATCATTATGTACAGCGAGAGATATTATGAAGAAACTATTAGCAACAGTTAAAACAGTTTAAATTGCGGAAATATCAAACAGTATATAAACTTGTCAGAGATCTATCATCAAAGTGTACTTGCTGTTAAGATAAAACTTGATGTTTCACCACCATGTCAACAATACAACTACAGAACAATATGGCACATTTATATAAATCCACATAATGTCTTGTACATGACAAGAAACCCACAATAACATTAAAACCAGTATAACATTCATATCAAAATAAAATTATAACCTAAAATAATATTATAGGCGGAGTATGGTTGAGACGATGTCGTCGTACGTTTTCCTAATACACAAAAAGTGCAGTAAGAAACTAAGAAACTGCAGTCAATAAACAAAGCGATCTGCAGCAAGAAACAAAGAAACAAGCTGCAGCAAGAAACTGCAGTCAGTAAACAATGAAATCTGCAGCAAGAAACAAAGAAACAAGCTGCAGCAAGAAACTGCAGTCAGTAAACAATAAAATCTGCAGCAAGAAACAAAGAAACAAGCTGCAGCAAGAAACTGCAGTCAGTAAACAATAAAATCTGCAGCAAGAAACAAAGAAACAAGCTGCAGCAAGAAACTGCAGTCAGTAAACAATGAAATCTGCAACAAGAAACAAAGAAACTGCAGCAAGAAAATGCAACCAGATAACAAAGAAACTGCAGCAAGAAATAAAGAAACTACTTTCAATAAACAAAGAAAGTGCAGCACATAACAAAGAAACTGTATCAAGAAACTGCAGCACCTAAACAAAGCTACTGTAGCCAACTAACAAAGAATCATCAGCCAATAAACAAAGAAACAGCAGAAAAAAGTAACAGCAATAATTACAATATCTTATCCAAAAAATCATGCATGAAACATAGTATTCATTTCATTTAATTAATATACTTAGATTAGCATTTAACCAAATAAGTTATGTTTAACACCAGAACAAATAAAAGCCTATGATTTTAAGATTATTTCATAGTTTAACACATTGATTGTTTCATATTTTAACACATTGATTGTTTCATATTTTAACACATTCAATGATTGTTTCATATTTTAACACATTGATTGTTTCATAGTTTAACACACTGTTTTTTTCCATAGTTAAACACATTGATTGTTTCATAGTTTAACACATTGATTGTTTCATAGTTTAACACATTGATTGTTTCATATTTTAACACATTGATTGTTTCATAGTTTTAACACATTTAAATTTTGCATTTTAAGTAGAGCATTCATTTCCACCTGCTAAAACTACACACGTGATTTCTACAGGTTTCTTTCCTCTGATAGAATAAAATGACCATGAACAAAACTGAATAAATCCAATAACACATGGAAAAAGACATAATAAGTTAAACATCACGCTGCTAAGTTCTCGGACATCTGTGGCAGTTAGTGTTCCGTCTTTTAAATGGTCGTATCCATAGGTGTTAAGTACTTTAACAACTAACATAGGACTTAAGGATATAGCAGGTTTCACCACCAGGGCGTTCATACCGTAAACCATCGAGGTTACCGGATGTCTGAAACCATATAAAAGAAATTACCGTCCATTAGGGTTCACGTGACAAAGGCTACAGATACAAAAAGTATATATGGTTAAATTCTTATGTTTATTTTTGTATTAGTTATATAATCGTTAAATCGCCTGACCATAGTTGTGACAATATTATTAACAATGACTTTTACTGTACTAGTACAAAGCCAAATGTTGTAAAGCTAAGAAACACCCTTGTTGCAAGTATATGTACATTGTAGTTCTTTAACAGAATTACTGCTCACATAATTCGTAAAACATTGAAAGTCTATGTCTTCATTTATACTGTAAATAATGAATACTTTTGAAACGTAAACATGTCTAGTGTGAACACTAACACATACTAGTTAATTAATCCGCGAAATTTCACAAAAAGATAATATAACTACTAACAAAAATAAGGGCAGTATGGCTGAAAAAATAGCTTGGAAGTGAAATAAAATATATATATTTTTACCTTCGGTTGTATCGTGCCAAATCATTGTCGGCTATATCAGAGAGTGGAAGATTGAACAGTGAAAAAATACCGTCTGCAAAAATGCTGAAATATATAGAAACATACCCTCAAATAATTGACATAAGATATATTTGATCAATTGTCCGGTGTAGAATAGGTTAAAATTCACTACAATATATAGGTTTTTAGGTCAACTGTACGGTCAACTTTGAAGGCTCTCCACTGAGGTTTTGTTTTGGCACGACGTAATTGAAATTTTTTTTTAACTATTCAATTTTGAATAAAAAAAAAACATAAAAAAAGACAAAAAAAAATATGTAAACTAACCTTTCTGTCAACATAAACAACATAAGCCACCAGTGGTTGCCCATTCCTATCATGAAATAAAACAATCCATACACCATCATAAACACTTGACTGTAACGTATCACTTTAAAATATCCAAACCTGCCCACAACACCAGTTCCTAATATCACTACCATCTATAAATAAAATAATAAAATAAGAACATTGAAAAAATCATAGATACTCCTGGACTTAAACTCACTAAAAAGATGTTCAAATTTAAGTAGAAATAGCCCAAGAGTATAAATATACTTCAGATATATAGGTGACCATGGTTTTGGAATCTGCATCAATTCAGTAAAGGCCTCAACAGACGGTAGGATTTAGTTGTACAGCACTAATTAGAGATAAGATGTACAATTTTCAAAGCAATACAACGCTTGCATTCAGACTGTAATTCTGCATTGTAGGAATAATCTGAAGTTTCCCTAAAATAAAGTTCCCTCCCAATTGATCCCTACATACTTTACTCACTATATATTTTTTTTCTCCATGAGTAATGATTGAAGCACCTTCATTATTTTCATTTTTTTTTCATATTATTTTTTAATGTGCAGTCTGACCGAGATTCGAACCAGGGACCCTCGGAATACCGTAATGCGGCTCTACTGACTGACCTATCCGGCCGCCTACAAACTACATCCGTGATTGAGTTCAATACAGGGACATAATCATTTTCATTTTCGAAATAATTTGGGATTCGAGCATACCACAACTTTGGGTCTCCTGAAGAGTTTTTCAACATCATTTTTACCCCATTTTACTACTATGTTTACCTTTCAGCCCTAATTGTTCTGGAATTTCATTCATTACAGATAATTTGGTAATCTGTTACTTGTCATTGTGGGAGGTCTGTAGAAATCTGTACGACAAGATTTTCAAAATAGAACATGTCCTATCATTCAAGAAATAGTACCCTTCATACATTAAGATTTGCCTGTACATCTTAGTTTTAATTAATTGGTGTTGTACTTCAAAATCCTACCGTCTGTTGAGGCCTAACGGGTTGCTTAGTGGGGAAATCTGTATAAGTACAATGAGAGTTAAGTGGAAAACCGTCCAAACGTGTCCACATAAACCACTTTAAAGACAAAAAAACAATAAAGTGTTATTTCATGAGCAGAGTAACATATATGGAATTTTTTATTGACAACAGATGCTTGTTTGACCGACTGAATCCCTCAAGAATTGACATCACTCTAGTAAAATATATTCCCAGGGATATAAATGTCTTATAGGTATGTTTCAAGTTGACAATATTTTACCATGTTGCCATGATATAGTATGTCAACCAAGTACAAAAATAGGGTGTATATAATTGTCTCCAAAATTGTGCAACTGCAATATATTTATATTTATATGTAAATATATAGACATTAAGCCTTACATAATTAGTGTTCATAGTGTGCAGGTATCATATGTTACAAAGAAATCAGCGACTCTCATTTCCTATTTTCTGGTCACAGCTGTCTAGATATATATTTGAGATCGACAGTGTTTATCAGAAATAATATAAGTTTATATCAGTACAATTACACGTTGTTTTGTTGTTTTTGTCAGACATATATATATATTATTGGCTTTAGTAATTATTTATTGTGTCCTGACTTCTTAGGGGGTTTGAGAAATAGAGAGAGGACAGGATCATTTAATATAACTTTAAAATTTATCATGGAAGGATAGCACTCTCTACTATTCTCAGTGCTTGATAATAAAACAAGAGGCTGAATAATGTATACATATAGATTTGAAAAAGGGCCATAATTCTGTCGAAATCCAAGTTAAAGTTATAGGCCTTGGGTAGTGACCTTCTATTATGTTCTCAAATATGAGTGTGAAGTTTCAAACCATTCCATTCAGTAGTTTTGGAGATACCAACTTGAACGCAAAAACTCAACCAAAGTGTGACCCTGGCCCTTGTAGTACAACAGTTCTCCCTATTCATTGAATAGCGAGCTAAAAAGACTTTATTCTTCATACCTTATATATGTTATCAAGATAATTTTTAATCTACAGTATTAATTCATTGCCCTGTAAAATGAATAGTTTAACATTTTTCAACATCAAAACAGACAGGTTAACAATGGACTCTTGTGTTGATTATAATAATAAAGTAATTTTTTTGAGGAGAAAAAAACTCAATTCATACGCTCAATTTATAATCATCTTGTTAATTTGAAATTTGATCTTACAATATGCTATTAATAAGTACATTTATATATAAACTTTACCTTTGGAACAGCAGAACTGGCTCCATAAAACAAGCTCCGTACAAATGATGGAATGGCTCCTTTTACTATCAACTGGTCCGCAAATATTGCAAAAAAGTTCGATAAGAAAGTCCTATGAAATTCTTGAAAAAAGTTCGTTATAACAAAAGCAAGAAAGTCCCTGTTAAATAGTATTTGCTTGGTAAGTGTAAAATAGGAGTATTCTTGTGATTTTATAACTTTAGGTTTCCCACATTTTACGTCTTTTTCTTGTTGAATTTCTCTTTCAGTATGTGCATATTTGCCGCAATAAATATGTAACAAACAACTTAAAACTGCAACACCAACACAACCTACTTGGAAAGCTTGGAAATTTTCTAATTGATTTGACATGTATTGCAAAATAAAAATACTTGATGATCCCACTAAACATCCTATATGATTGTACCTTATCATTTTAAGTCTTGCTTCATTATCAGACGCCAGTTCCGTGAATAAACAGCACGCAGCCAAACCGACGTATGTATACATTGTGTCCCAGAAGCATAAAGCAGTTATCAGATGAATTCCAGTAACCCATGGCTGCAGCGTCTCTGGATCTCCCCATGGAAACCATGGAACGAGAAATGAGAGAGCAAATAATGGTGCTGCGTACAAAACACTTTCACGTCGAGTTCTTGAGCATCTGAAGTTTGTACTGTCTTGAAAATATGCAAACAGAGGGTCGTTAATGGCATTCCAAATCATGAAGAGTGTCTGGGACAGTTGAAACCAGCTTTCTTCTATGTGATAGTGGTTTAGAAATACTTTCACATAATAAAAGCTGAATGCCGAGCTCACCAGACTGAAACCAAATGATGAGGCTGCAAGTGCCACTATCCTAGTATGTAAGGAAACTCGTGACGTCATCTTGATGTATATAAATATTCCGTTTCTGCACAGAAATTGTTGTAGTTGTACAAGTGTGACACGTACAACACGATACTGCTATCTTAAAACATGAGCTACATACGACAGCTGTCATACCATTACTTCACCTGGGAGGTAAATATACAAACTTTATATCAATACAATTTATTGCACAAGTATCTTAAATCATTGAGCTATTATATCCCCTTATGATGTTAAAAACTTTAATTAACACAACATATAGATCACTGTCCACAGACTCAATGTAAACATTGTAATTTAGTTTATGAGTATACAAGTACATATGTAAACTATACAGGTGTTGAAAATATATGTATATATCATATAGTATACGCTATTTTGTATATCATAGCATAATAGCAAAATATATTTGAAAGTTTTAGTTGAAAGGGACCACTGATTGAGCTAAAAAGAAAATTTATTTTTTAATGAAATGCATTAAACAGTAAACATTAAAGCTGCATGCCTCCAGGTGAGCCAAAATATTTAAAGAAAATCAAACTTGGAAAAAATGTATTGAGGTTTTATGAAAAGTAAACAGATTGAAAATAAAAGTGATAATTTCTATATGGTTTGCGATAAATGGCCGATTTTCAGTAATTTTCACCATATTTCTACTGCGTTACTTACCAGTAAGGGTTAATTTTGCATATTTTGATCTCTTTTTTGGTAATTAACATGCGTTGCAGGCCTAGACATTAACTTTTGAATCAGGTTGTCCTGTCGGGCAAGTAGTTTTTAAAACTACTTGCCCGTGACCTAAGACTTACTTGTCCTGACCTAAAGATGGTAAAAATGTATAAATCAGAAAAACAAACAAGCTCATAAATATTTTTTTGTATTTAGTAGTTTTTCTAAAACATCGGTTCATCTGTTTATTCAATGTGAATATACTACGGTCATGTAAATTTGTTGATATAGGAAACGGAAGGAAAAATATGAGCATGCGCCGCGGTAAGGAAATTCCCAGTTCAATCATCAAGTCAACAGCCGTAAACGAGTCTTCGTTTACTAAGTTCATAATGTTGTTATATTAGATTAAACAATAAATCATTTTTAATGCAAAAACTTTATTTAACAATTATATTTAAAGATCAATATGATTATCTACATATTTTCAATGATATCTTTACATGCAAACATCAAAATTTAAACAACAGCATAACCTGGGAATTACCTTGTACAAAATTAGATATAGTCTATTATTAGAACAGAGAATTACCTTACCGCGGCGCATGCTCATATTTTTGCTTCCGTTTCCTATATCAACAAATGTACATGACCGTAGTATATTCACATTATTGATAATAATTCATGGTGTATTTTTGTTTTAAAGATGTTTATAAATGAAAAGATGTTATTTTTATTCATTTTGTACATGCATTTGTCAATGATGCTCTTTATTTTCACTTGCCCTGTCGGACAAGTGCTTTTCAAAATAACTTGCCCGGACCAAACTTTTAGTTGTCCCGGGCAGTCGGACAACCGTTAATGTCGAGCCCTGCGTTGCAAGTGCCGTTTCCAATGTGCATATTATCTTCTTTGTCAGCTTCACAATAGTTTACTTTTGATACAATTTCAAATTTTAATGAAAATTAACTGGAATCTGCAGAGGCGTGATACTTTAAAGAATAATTATGAATGTAGTTACTAGGAATCGAAGTAATGTACTTTGTAACTATTTTTGTTCATTTTTCAGAATTATATACATTACAAAGTTATTATCATTGTGCTGAATGTAGTCTGGGTTATCAGTAACCAAGATTTAGTATAAAATAATAAGCTGTATATTCAGGGGAATTAATAAGTCACATATAATCATACACGCAGTTGTCTCTGTTTTTAACAATTTTACAACATTTCTATGCAATTTGTAAATATCAAAATATCACATTAATTAACTATTCTTGATCTAGCATTTACATATTCTAGCTTTGATTTAAAACTGCGACATATATTTCTAAAGTTTAAATCTGTAAATCAAAAATGAAAGTAGCATACCTAGTTACTGTTCCATATTGTAAAACACGAGTTCGTTAACTAAAGTACCTGAGGCATATTCACGCGTGTATATGTTTTAACATAACATGTTTAACATGTAAGATCACATATTGCGTATAAATGAATGTGTAAATTAACTTCTAGTAAATTGTACCTCAAAAGTTTACATGAATTGTACATTATCATTGATATTAAACCAACATAATTTATTTTAATATTTAAGGTAAATTACAATGTATTTAAATATACTCTTTACGTGTTAAAACCGACTTACCTTTAAACAATTTAGATCCCAGAAAATGTGATAAACGCGTAAGTCTGACATTCAACTTTGACAGTTTAAGTGTGTCAAATATAATATGAAAAGTTTAGACCTTGACCTTGATAGCTTTAATACAAAACACACACTTGTTATATACACACTTGTATTATCTAGACGTTTTAGTGGTCATTGATCCAGTCAGTGCACTCGTGGTGTGCTACCTGATCAAATGTGTATATTTTATTTGCTTTGATTTAATGTAATGTAGCAAAACAACATCATCCTGTATATGATAGAGATACCGTTATTATTATAATAAAATCTACAGCACCATATATTGTACCATATTTATCATAATACAAAAAAAAACTGAAACGGCTATATAGATCTATGACTGAATTAGTCATGAAGTAAATTAACGGGTTAAAAAAAACAATTAGTTCCGTAATATTTTAAGTAGAAAGTTTATTCAATTACTGAACTAATGCAAAATATATTTTTGATACATCTGTATCAATAAGTTATTAATGAACTCGTATTATTACGTTATGTTTTATTACCAATAATAATTTTGACGGAAATGGCCGATAAGTTACGACTGGTCAACATGATGTGGGTTTTGTGTGTGTGTGTGTGTGTGTGTTTTTTTATCGTGATTATCTTTGTAATTTACCGGTAATTATTATGAACAACAAATGAAATTAACAACAAAATAATCTTTTGAAATAAAAATAGCTATGCATTAATATGGAAGACGTGACTGTCTTATATGTGATCTATCTCGAGAAATGATGATATAATTTTGTCGTTTAAGCGTGCTAACATGTGCAATTTACAATGTCTTGTCACATAACATGTATATTACTAAGACTGAAATATGAAGAGAAAATACAACGAAACAATAAAACAATTAACACGGGAAATTAAATCTGAAAGTCCGATAAATAAAATGGGTAAAGTAAAATGTGATATAGGCGATGGTCGTCAAGTTAAAGAAACATACAACAAACGTTAATTTGTACCTGTGGGAAATTGTTATATATAGTATTTGTATGTTATTTACGTGATATTGATACAGGAGATATTTAGAAATCGGTTGTCACTTCACATGTATGCTACGTTACTATAGTGATATACTGATACAACGGACAGCACAATTTCAGATATACTGGTCCTTTCTAGGTACAATTAAAAGGGACAACCATTCTTAAACATTCACCATACCGAAAATTGTAGATTTCTTCAAAGTTATAAATAAAACTTACTTTTTACCATTCTTTCGTACATATGCAGACGATCTAAATACCGACACAAGAAGTATTGATATATTCCAACATGAAATATTAACGATTCCAGGTTTCCATTGAGTGCTTTATTGATATTACTTATGCATAACTTTGTACGTTAATGATTATCATTCTTTAGTAGAATTAAAACCTCATAGCGTTCATAGTTTATATATGTAATCGATACAAGAAAAATACAATACGACAAAACTATACATGTAGTACAAACAGCAGTGACTTTGTTCAATATATGTACAGAGTCATCAATATCCTTACGCCAGTGTAGATCTTAAATAATATATGCACAGAAATAACAAGACGTTTTCGAAATGAAATAAATGTTGTTGTTGTTGTTGTTGTTGTTGCTGCTGCTGCTGCTGCTGCTGCTGTTTCTTCTTGTGTTAATTTGAATCCGTGAAGAAAAAAACTTCATGTAAGTTAGTAGTAGTATACATGTAGATATACATATATAATATTAAGCGAATTTGTTTTATATGATATAAGCCATCTGTCACCTGGAAATATCATGTTTTATAATGATCGGCATTCCGTCCCTCAATAAAGTCTGAAGTTATTTCCCCTTACATTGTGATTTTCAGCAAATAATTTGTTAATAGAAACAATATATTACGACAACGAGATTCGCCAGTTTTCAATTATTGCATCTTTGTCATCATTAACCAAAAATATTGAATATTTACATTTAAAAGACTACTATAGTCACTGACTACAAAGTACTTTACAAGAAGACAGAACCCAGTTTCAAAATCATCCTTCTAGCATTGTTTAATGAATTGTGGTTCAGATGCTTTGTAATGATTTTAAAGTGTGCTTAATCAAAGCGAATTTTTAAGGCATAAGTTTTTATAACGATTTAGAAATAAAAAACATTAGGTTATGGAAAGAAATCTTAAATTTGGAACTGAAACAATTTGATTCGTTGATAATTACATTAACAATGTTTATTAGTTAAATTTGAAAAGTTAATACAATTTGAGTTACTTCCGGATCTATCATTTCTGGGATCATGCTATAACAGCAATACGTCATATTTTTTTTAAATTATAAAGTGGTATTCTATTTAGAGTGCGTAATTTGCATTTGTACATATATTTATAGTTTCTGGGCATAAGTAATCTTTTGATCTGTTAGAATGTTCTCATTTATTTGCACCTACTTGCTATGCATAAATGTTCTTGCTCAGAACAGATATGCACGGAGTTAAAAGTGTCTGGCTTAAAACTGACTGGAGCTGCATGTGTTACAGATGTATGCTTTGAGGTTGTCTCATGCTGTTTTTGTATGCATGGTGCTACAAATATTAATTTTAGATTTTCACGTGTTGCAGGTATGTGCATTGTGCAACAGGTATACTCATTAAGATTGTCACGTCCTGCGCGACCGTATTTCTAACTGCAAGTTACCGTCCACGCCTCCTATAGCACCGACTTAAGCAGTGTTCAAAATTAAAACATGGAAGTGGTGAAATTTGAATTAAGAACCATCTGCATTTGTGTTCATACGGCGGTGATGATATCACTTACAATGTGGCACGTTAATGCCATTCCATGAAAAGCGGCGTATCTTCCCCCAAGTTAAAATTGCATGTGCTCAAAACGAATAAACAATGGGCCCAAACTTTTAAATAAAATGGAAAAATTGAAGGGGGTTTTGAGGGTTTTGAAAACCTGCACATCACCGAAAAAGCTTTCCCAAAAAACAAAATTTTAAAAAAGGGAAGGGAACCCAAAATTTCCCAAAAAGGGGGATTATAAAAATATTCCCAAAAAGGGAAAACTATAACCCCCGAACCCCAGTAAAAAACGAATAAAAAAGAAAATAAGTGTACCACAAACACTAACGTGTCCTATTTTTGAGGTTCCATAAAAACCGCCGTATAAACACAATTGCGAAAGGTTACTAAAGTTAAACATCACCCTCACCATATCAAAATGTTGAATTCTGCTTAAGCCGGTGGGGGGACGTGGACAGCAGCTTCCGCCATGAACAGGCTCGATGAAACCGAGCCTAAAACAGTTTCAATTTGCTGTTTTGGACTTTCTAAAAGTTACAGATTCTTATTTTTATTATTATATTGTGAAATTGTAAAAATATCGGAACATAAAATCTGTATTCACACTTAAAATAATGTTCAGACAATATGCAAAGTTCAAGCAGTTCGTTCTGTATTATTCTATTTAACAAAATGAACACCAAAGATGGGCCACACCATGACTTCTAGATAACTTTTGTTGTACCTTATATACAAGACATTGCTACATCTATACTTATTAATTTCTCTCCTGCCTTATATATTCAGATAACTATTTTTGAACACAGGGTTAGATTCATATAACTTATGTAAAGGACATTAATGCATTACTCTAATGTCACATGTGTAAGCTCCCGTTCAACTAGAGAGTACCCAGAAGTCTACATTACTCGTGTGATCCCCGAGATTTTTTTGTATAAAGCACATAAATTTAAAACATTATTTTATTATTATATTTTTTTATTTTTTATTCATTTTTATTGAGTATATCCAGACAATACAGCATGCTTAATAGCTGAGTTCTTTGGTTTGTATTTTTTGATAAGTTAAAATTGTTTCTTTTTGATATTAGTATGTGTGAGAATCATGCACTTCTGTCACCGTTTATATATAACCGTTTTAGAGTTCCACTAACCAATCTTGTAACCACGTCTTTTTTGTATCTTAATTGTTACCTATTTATGCAAAACAGCACCAATACTCCTATTAAGGTTGATCCAAGTCTGCTTTGAGGTTTGGAAGGAGAAAGTAATTGAGGATAATTTGTTTAAACACATTATATTTCAAACATTTTGCACAAACATATCTTACATATACAATGACTACTTGCGCAATACAAGGGTATAGAAAAGAAGCACATCCGAAATTATACAATGCTTATAAAGGTCTTTTCCTAATACATGTAATTCATTACTGTATTTTTTTCTGAGATTTTTGTAAAAGATACATATGAAAAGTTAAAAAAAAGAAAATATTCTATTTACGTTAAATTCAAAAAGATAAGAAAAAAATGCAATAGTGTAAATCTAAAGCTAAAAATAGACAATTATATAGAGTTATAATCATTACATGTTAAACCACAGGGGCATGATTTTTAGCCTCGAAACTGTGGATAGTTCTCGATTAAACATAGCATATAGCAATGTATGAGAACTTTATTGCTGTACCCAGGTGAGTCAGAAAGACATCATATTGTGAAGACTCCTTCATTTATCACTGAGGAATTATTTATAGATAGGTCAACAATTTTTGGCTCGGTCGACAGCAAATGAGAGTAAATCCTTGGCAGAAAAACAAAAGGTAAATAAGGATGACCACAACTTAAAGGAAGACAGAGCAGCAAGAATACCGCCTACAAAGGCCCGATGAAGCAAGACAGAAGACGAAAATTAAGACAATTCAGTCCCAATGGGTTTTAAAAACTGTCCCTCATAGAGTCTCCCACTTGGTCCGTCAGATGAAATCAAAAGACGAAAGCGTTGTGTTCAACTGTATAGGGGTTGAACACTAAGCATGCGGTATGTAATAAAAAAGTAGGGTCATAATCGTTTTTAATAAAACGTTTAAAATTTCAGGAAAGAAAAATTATCATAACCAAAGTTTGTAAATTACATCTCGATAGAAATTTCACTTGCTAATCGAATCAGGTTTATGGAAAACTAAATTGGTTCAAAAATTAATGAATAAACGCAGGAAGACTATGAAAATGATTTATCGTTTGGAAATAATCCACTTGGCACTTGAGAAATAAGCGAATCAAAATGTTGTTTCCTTTGTCTGCTCTATTGTCAAGCTCAATGACGTTCACGCACTTAATTGAGCACCATACAAGACAGTTATACATTAAGCGGTTTTGATCCAATCATATGTTAAGCTCTAGTAGAATTCATCTAACTCTTACCAAAACCCTAGTTGTAATGTAACAAGCTTGATGTATTCACAAATAAGGAGAAGATAATGAAAGGTTATCGGTATTTAAAACATCGGGCCCAACAAGATTAATTTCAAAATAAATATAAGAATGCTACAAACTAAGTTTAATGAAGCTCCATTAATTTGCTCAAGTGAAGTTATTCTTAAGGGTGTTGTTCAGCTATAGTGATATGTAAAAGGGGACGCATCAAAATACTTAGACAAATTTTAACAATCGAACATTGCTATAATGGCAAAGGTAATTTCAGAAGTAAATCAGACATATGTGCTATTAGAGGAAACAAAGTGAATTGTTTATGTTGGATTTTTCATTTAAACAAATACATAGTACCTTAGCAATTCAAACGACCTAACAAAATTTCTTCAAAAATAAATATACGAAGCAAATACATGTAATTATAAAATATGCATTAAAAATGATAAAAGTAAATCAAATTCTTTATCACAGCAATCAAAATAGTAGAAATAGAAATAAACTAAATACAGTGCCGTTGTTAGAGCCAACATTTAAAATCATGTCGAATGACTTTTTTCTCCTTGCTTTCCCCCCCTGATTCTATAAAATGACCAGGCACAGAACTGAACACATCCAATAACACATGGATAAAGACATAACAAGTTAAACATAGCGCTGCTGAGATCATGAACCTCATTGGCATTTAGTGTTCCATCTTTCAAATGGTCGTATCCATACATGTTTAAAATCTTAACAACAAACAAAGGTGATAATGATATAGCAGGTTTCACCACCAAGGCGTTCATGCCGTAAACCATGGAGGTAACTGGATGTCTGAAAAGATTCATAAGAATGTTGTAAAACACATGCATCGTGCATTTAATCCTGTCAAAGACAAAAAGATGTACATGGTAAATGTTGAAACAATTAAACATTATACACGGGTAAATAGTGATCAGCACACAGGTTTTTAAATGCAATTAATTTCCTTTCATGAAAGCTGCAAGAGAGTTGAAGAAAAAGGGGATAATTAAATATGACGTTATCACATTTACATATGGTCTTATGGAGGTCCTTCTTGTATCCTGCATTTACCCAGTTTGTGCTTGGCTTTGAAGTCATTTCGATATTGTAATGGACATATCGAGACATTTTAGCTTTAGTGGTGGAAGAAGACTCAGATGCCTCTTCGTGCAATATTTTGGGCGCCAGCGGACATCTGATTAGAACAACTGACTTTCCGTAATATTGATGTAGAAAGAAACCAGTTACTGGCAGGATTCGATTTTATTTCTTGAATCATCGTTAAAAATTAATGAATAAAGCCTCAAAACATATTTTTTAACATAGATTAGCAGGGGCAATAGAAAAAGAAAAACGTACAGAAGATAAGTTAGAATTACAAAACAAATCCCCGAAAATTGTATTTTTATGCTTTTCTTATTCCGTTTTGAGTGCAACACTTTACAATTTGACCCATTTTTCAGTTAAAATAATTATTCTGGAAAAAAAAAAACAGACTGAGCGAATAAGCTTAATTTTGTACAAAAGTTGTTGGTATAGATCTTAATCAAATGAAACATTAATCTCGAAAAAATATTTTCAGTCCCGTCATCTCAAAAAAACTTCAGTGGAGTCCATTTAACAATAATACATGTTCTAAAAAGTAGAAATGATGTTCAAACAACATTTAGTTAACTTCGAAATATGGTCACAATCAACGCTTTATGAAAGCCAAACTTTGAAAGCCAAATATATATTCAACGGTATTTCAACTTTAAATTAAGTCTCTGTGATAATCAAATGTTACAACATCAATCTGTCTACAGGATACACGATTGCAGGCAATGCTGTTGTCTTATACATCATGACTCACATTATAAAGAAGTAAAATAAAGAAAACACCCTTTATATAGAAGTAAAATAAAGAAAACACCCTTTATATAGAAGTAAAATAAAGAATACACCCTTTATATAGAAGTTAAATAAAGACAACACCCTTTATATAGAAGTAAAATAAAGAAAACACCCTTTATATAGAAGTAAAATAAAGAAAACACCCTATATATAGAAGTAACATAAAGAAAACACCCTTTACATAGAAGTAAAATAAAGAAAACACCGTTTATTTAGAAGTAAAATAAAGAATACACCCTTTATATAAAAGTAAAATAAAGACAACACCCTTTATATAGAAGTAAATAAAGAAAACACCCTTTATTTAGAAGTAACATAAAGAAAGCACCCTTTATTTAGAAGTAAAATAAAGAAAACACCCTTTATATAAAAGTAACCTAAAGAAAGCACCCTTTATTTAGAAGTAAAATAAAGAAAACACCCTTTATATAGAAGTAACATAAAGAAAGCACCCTTAATTTAGAAGTAAAATAAAGAAAACATCCTTTATATAGACGTAAAATAAAGAAAACACCCTTTATATAGAAGTAAAATAAAGAAAACACCCTTTATATAGAAGTAAAATAAAGAAAACACCCTTTATATAGAAGTAACATAAAGAAAACACCCTTTATATAGAAGTAAAATAAAGAAAACACCCTTTATATAGACGTAAAATAAAGAAAACACCCTTTATATATAAAAGTAACATAAAGAAAACACCCTTTATATAGAAGTAACATAAAGAAAACACCCTTTATATAGAAGTAAAATAAAGAAAACACCCTTTATATAGACGTAAAATAAAGAAAACACCCTTTATATAGAAGCAACATAAAGACAACACCCTTTATATAGAAGTAACATAAAGAAAACACCCTTTATATAGAAGTAACATAAAGAAAACACCCTTTATATAGAAGTAAAATAAAGAAAACACCCTTTATATAGAAGTTAAAAAAGAAAACACCCTTTATATAGACGTAAAATAAAGAAAGCGCCCTTTATATTGAAGTAAAATAAAGAAAACACCCTTTATATAGACGTAAAATAAAGAAAGCGCCCTTTATATAGAAGTAAAATAAAGAAAACACCCTTTATATAGAAGTTAAAAAAGAAAACACCCTTTATATAGACGTAAAATAAAGAAAACACCCTTTATATAGAAGCAAAATAAAGAAAACATCCTTTATTTAGAAGTAAAATAAAGAAAACACCCTTTATATAGAAGTAACATAAAGAAAACACACTTTATATAGAAGTAACATAAAGAAAACACCCTTTATATAGAAGTAACATAAAGAAAACACCCTTTATATAGAAGTAAAATAAAGAAAACACCCTTTATATAGAAGTAAAATAAAGAAAACACCCTTTATATAGAAGTAAAAAAAGAAAACACCCTTTATATAGACGTAAAATAAAGAAAACACCCTTTATATAGAAGTAAAATAAAGAAAACACCCTTTATATAGAAGTAAAATAAAGAAAACACCCTTTATATAGAAGTAAAATAAAGAAAACACCCTTTATATAGACGTAAAATAAAGAAAACACCCTTTATATAGAAGTAAAATAAAGAAAACATCCTTTATATAGAAGTAAAATAAAGAAAACACCCTTTATATTATTAGTTATAAAGATCGTTGACTGGTTATATGGCCCTATATAAACGGCTATTTGTAAATATAACCCACCGTTAGGGAGGGTTTTATTGGGGAAAAAGCCGTTTATTAAAGGAATATAACCTTCAAAATCTTTTTAACGAAAATTATAATACAGCAAGACATTTTAGAGAAAAAAATAAAATTTCTTCATGAATCGACAGCAGCCGTGTATATAAAACTATATAAACGTCACGATTATCCAATGAAAAATGACGTTACAAACGTGCAGTATTATAAGAAGTAAAATAAAGAAAACACCCTTTATATAGACGTAAAATAAAGAAAACACCCTTTATATAGAAGTAAAATAAAGGAAACACCCTTTATATAGAAGTAAAATAAAGAAAACACCCTTTATATAGAAGTAAAATAAAGAAAACAGAGTCTCACCTTCGGTTGTATCGTGCCAAATCGTTGTCGGCTATATCAGAGAGTGGAAGATTGAACAGTAAGAAAATGCCGTCTGCAAGAATGCTGTAATATACAAAAAAACATATGAGCCGTGTCATGACAAAACCAACATAATGGGTTTGCGACCAGCATGGATCCAGACCAGCCTGCGCATCCGCGCAGTCTGATCAGGATCCATGCTGTTCGCTATCAGTTTCTCTACTTGTTATAGGGTTTGTAAGCGAACAGCATGGATCCTGATCAGACTGCACGGATGCGCAGGCTGGTCTGGATCCATGCTGGTCGCAAACCCATTATGTTGGTTTTGTCATGACGCGGCTCAATTATATCCATAAAATTGACATATTTTAACTTTACTTTATAGGATTTGAGAAGAATGTTTACTTACTTTTTAATTTTTGTAATTATTGAACAATAAAATTCAATAAGAAATATCTTTTCCTATTTAATACACTAGACACATAATGACAAACAAAAGGGTAATAGCCATGAAGTGGCTCACCTGGCTTAAGAGTACAATTGGGAACTCACGAATGATTTAAACATATTTTACAAGTTCTTGTTCAAGTACTAACTTAAGAACTGTAGAAGGTAAAACTATACAGTTCTAAATAGAGTTTCCAAAACACTATTAAGCACTTTAAAAATGTGAAGAAAATTGATTTACAAAAAAGTAACAAGAGCATGAAAATCATAAAATGAAGATAATAATAATATTTTTCCCACTGATAATACATTGATTGCCGCGTGAATGGCAACGTAATGGGGGTAACAATTGTACGTAGTCTTCGTGATTTTGTCCGATAAAATTCTGGATAAAATGTGATCCCTCGGAAGCATTAATCACAAGAAAATTACATGAAAATTGCAGACTCGGCTTTATGTAACACTCTTTTTATCTATCTCCGATAAGCTCTTAGATTCTAAAAAAAAGTCACAATTATAAATCGGCTTTAAAATTCTGACTAAATGCACACTGAATACAATTGGCAAACGTAAACATGTGTTGTACGATGTTCGATATTAAAAGGAACATTCTATTAAAATGATATTAAAATAAAAGATAATAAACATCATATCTCTTGATTGTTTCTTTATTCTTTGAAATTGAATGTCAAGCTTTAAATCTTAATTATCCTGTAACTTTAATAGGCATTCTTGATGCCAGGTCTATTTATAAAACAATATATAAACTTGAAAGAATAATACCACACTGCTTAAATCTTTACATCCAAATCAAAAATAGAATAAAATCAAAAATAGAATAAGAAACGCTATCTTTATAAATAAGATATATTTTTCTCTTCCTATCCACACCAACTAGAGACAACCTTCAATTAATTTTCATGATTTCTTATGATTAAGGTGAACACATTTATGCTAGATATCTAAGCTATAGGTCTGGTATTTATACACCGATCTCTAAAGACATTCCGTACATTATAAGTTTATGTTGAAATAAATGACCCCTAGGACGGAACAATTTTGGATCCCATGGATATATAGATTTGTAAAGATCCACTAGATGATGATATACAAAGTGTTGATGCCGTCGCGTTGGTTGTGGTACGAATTGGCTTAGTGCGAAACATATTTAATTCCGACGTGATTATCTCCCTTTGACTTTTCTGCGGCATTTGTAACGATTGTTAAACGTTTTGGGGGAAAACGATCTTCGAAGAGTTTTTAAGTTCTAAATAGTGGCAAAGAGGTTTGTTATGCAGAATTGTTGTCTATTTTATAATATTTTGACTATATTTTTCTATGGAGTATTGTATTGTTGCATTTCGAACCAAATGTTTGATATTTTAAGTCTCAGAATTCGATTGTGTTTTGTCTTTTCAGTTTTCACGTGAGCATTGCGAACAATACAATCGAAATTGCGGAAATAAACTGTATTAAGCTCTCAGTGTATGTCTTTGTCAATCGGCCAGATTGCGCGCCATCAGCTCGATACCCTGAAAGGCGACTGGTCGCCATAGTGAAAACTCTTCACACCGTGTAATCCTGTTACAAGATCTGTGGAACATCTCCCCAGCTAAGATTGTTATAGATGAGTTTAAGTAGGCTTCAGAAAAATATTTGTAAAGCTACCACTTCATCTGATAATTCACAGACAGACCTGGCTTGGAAACCAGTCATTATAAGTGACAGTAAGGGTAGATATATAAAGTTAGCTGTCAACAAAAGTGTTTCTCATGAAAACGAAAATAATATGGTGTTTTAAAAGTGGAGGCAAATTGCCACGAAAGATATATTTGGTTAGAACACAACATTGAAGATCTTTTAAAGAAGCATAGAAGAATTGCCTTATTTATATGGTTGGGCACATGTGACCTCACTAGAAAGGTTAATAAATATATTAACTTAAAACCAAATCCAGTTGCTAAACTTGAAAAATGATCTGCAAAAGTACAAGGACCTTGCTGACAAGTACTCCGAGGTAAAAGATCTGTTTCATTCATGTTCCCTATTACTCAATTTAAAAGTGGGAACAAGTTAAAGGTCAAATTTAAAAATTTTGAAACAAATTTAAAGAAAGACCGAAGACCCCACAGATTATATAAAATGAAAATTTAAAAAATTTATAGAAAGATTTTTAAAAATTTTCAAAACCCGGGGAAAAACCTCCAAAAATTAAAAACAGGATTTTGTGCATAATCGTAAAAAAAAAAATTCCAAAACAAGATAATTTCCGGAAATTCAATTTTTTTGTTTTTCCCGGGGAAAAAAATCCATCTTTATTTTTCCCAAAACGTTTTAAATCAAATTTTTGAACCCAAAATTTGGGGTTGTTTTTAAACTGGGAAAAACAGTTGTTTTTCTTAAAGGGAGGGGTTTCCGCCCAGAGTTTTTTAACATAAAAAAAATTTTTTACTTATATTTGGGATAAAATTTCCCTTAGATTTATTTGTTGTTTTTGTAAGCAGGGAATTCCAGCTACACCTTTATTCTAAGGTAATTTAATTTTTTTTTTTATATTAACTCAGATCATTCAATTTTGAAAAAACTAACCACATATATTAGCATAGTAGGTGCATACAAACATTCATTTAAGATGGCAGAAGGGCAGTCACTTGAATAAAAAGGTTGTAAACTCTGACAATACTGAAATTCAGAGCGCGTCGCCAGATTTACATCTAGTTCTAGGAATCCGATCTTAAAGCCGAGAAAGGTTTACCAATATCAAAGGGATATATATAACAAAAATTTCAGGTCTTGCGTGTCCAAAATGGCGAAGGCAATCTGTCCAAGTATCTATAATTATGTCGGACAGTTCAGAAGTAAAAGCGCTGCGCGACGAGAGAACAAATCTCGAAAATTCTTTTGCTGAACTGTGTACGGCTTACGATCAGTTAAACAATTTAAGCGCAGATGATAATATTGAAGTTTCGTAGTTCTGAAACATTCGATAAAATTGAAATTGAGCATCAGCTGATTATGTGTAGGATATCTGAAAAAATTTCGGAACTTCAAGTCACAGATTTTGACTTACAGTCAATACGTTCGCAACAAAGTAATAGGTCTTATAGATCGCGACGTTCTTTATAATTCAGTTGAATATTAAGACTTCTAATCGGCAACCGAAGCCGCTGTTTTAAGTGCTAGACTCAGATACATAGAAGCAGAAGCTCATTTCTCGCGCTCCAGTTTGAAAAAATCACAACAATTAAGAAATTAAAAAATGGCTAAAGCAAGATTAATGGCTCTAGATCAGGAGTTGGTTGGAGATAATCAGTCTGATACTGTGACTAAACAATTGCAGTTGCCAGTTGCATATTGAAGATAAATCTGATTTCGTTCAAAAATATGTTGATACACAATCTCATAGCATTCAAAAAATGACTATAAATTATTTAAGTCATCGCATTCACAATACACTCAGGGCAGTCAAATACACATATGCCACAATTTACAAACTTCTTCTCTGCCCATTTGATTCAACACCTGTTGCAGCTCTGAATCGCTGCCAGTAAGACCCGTTTATGCCTAAAAGTTCACTTTCTAATGGCATCAGTATCTCATGATTCACAATCTGCCATAAACAAACAAGCAGGTCAAGATCGTATTAATAATCAACGTTACAGAAGGGTTTTTTGATAAAGGGGTCGAGCAGATTAACTTTAAGTCATTTGGTTTGAACAAATAGGGTCTTAATAGAACTACCCCTCCTGGAACCTGGAATATTTTTTGGAGATCCGTTGAAATACCCCCGATGTAAACAGTTTTCAATACTTTTTTGAAAAAAAAGTCCCTATTCGCCTTTTTGAAAAAATTCATTATTTGAAGAAATACATTTTTGGAACCGGTTGGGTAGTTGAGAGTTATTTCCCATCTTTTGTGATTTTTAAAGATGAGCAGAAGTTTGTTGGGTGAAAATAGGCCCCTCCCTTTTAAATTTTTTTCAAAAGCCCTTTTGTGAAAGGGTTGAAAAAAAGGGCCCAAAATAGCTGCGAGGGGTTTTCATGGTCTTAGGCGATTTTCAATTTCTTGCCGGGAGTGTGACAATGCAATTTTCGGGTTATTGGTAAATCTTGGGTGTCTCCAAAGAGATAGAAAAAAGAAGTTTTGCTTAAGTTAAACCAAGTGGAATTTGTCACACGTTGGGGAACCCGGGTTTTGTAGTAAAATGAAGGGTCAGAAGGGGTTTATTTCCCCCCCTTTTCCCAATTTTTGGGAATTTTTTTGTCTGGTTTAACCAAAATGCTTGGGGACCAAAACATCTCTTCAGTCCCCTTAAAACAATCAACCCACTCTGAGTCAGATAAATCGGGTAAGGTTTCCCAAGGGGGATGAAACACGGGGGGACCCCCCTTTTGAAAGGGTTTTTCTAATTTTCTGATATTTAAAAAAAAAACCCCCTTAAATTCCCCCCTAATTCAGGGATTTTTAGTAATTTGTCAAAAAATTTTAAGGGGGAAAACCCTTTATTTAAATCAGTGTTTTGCAGTTTGTCCCGTTAAAACTTTAAATGCCCGAAAAGGGTTTTATTAAAGAAAAACAAATTTTTCTTTGTTGTTTTAAAAACCCAAAAAAAAGTTTCAAAATTTGTAAAGGGAAGG